AATTTCTTTCCACCTCTCCTTCTAAATAAATCTTATTGTAAGGATCTGGTCCTACATTCCTTGTTCACCCAAAATTCCCACTGATGTCCATAAAAACGATAAAGAAATGTTAAGAAATTCAGGATCAGACTGCAGATGGAGACTAAATTTAATCTCAAAACATTTCAGGGTACATAGAGTCACTGAGAATTTACCAACTTAATCTTGTTTCTTCTAATCAGCTTCTTTAATGTAGATTCTTTTGTGAGAATACTGACAATTGGGTCGGAAGAGTAGGGGGACAATGCTCCTCGTTAAACATGTACAGTAAACTTCCGATAATCCGGCACCTTTAGGACCCAGGGGGTGCCCGATTATCAGATTTGCTGGATTATCGGAAGGGGGGGCTATAAGGGGCTTAGGGTGGGGGGGTGCCACCCCAGGCCCCTCATAGCCCCCCCTTCCGATAGTCCGGCTCTGCCCCAGGCATCCCTGATTCAGCCGCTGCTGGTCAGTTTCAGCAGCGGCTGACTTGGGGACACCTGGGGCAGAGCAGCTAGGGTGCTGCTGGGTTAGTCCAGTAGCGCTGAGGAGTGGCGCTGCAGGACCAACCCAGCAGCACCCCAGCTGCTCTGCCCCAGGCGTCTCCGATTCAGCCGCTGCTGAAACTGATCAATGGCTGACTCCAGGAAGCCCGAGGCAGAGCTGCTCTGCCTCGGGCTTCCTGGAGTCAGCCATTGATCAGTTTCAGCAGCGGCTGACTTGGGGACACCTGGGGCAGAGCAGCTAGGGTGCTGCTGGGTTAGTCCAGTAGCGCTGAGGAGTGGCGCTGCAGGACCAACCCAGCAGCACCCCAGCTGCTCTGCCCCAGGCGTCTCCGATTCAGCCGCTGCTGAAACTGACCAGCAGCGGCTGAATCCAGGACAGCTGGGGTGCTGCCGGGTTGGGTCCTGCAGCCCCCAGGGCCTCCAGCTGCTCTGCCCCCGGCTTCCCTGATTCAGCCGCTGGTCAGTTTTAGCAGCCGCTGAATCGGGGAAGCTGGGGGCAGAGCAGCTCCAATGGTCCGGCTGCCCGGAGCACTTCCAGGTTCCTGATGGTGCCGGACCATCAGTAGTGCCGGACCAACAGATGCCAGACCATCGGAGTTTTACTGTATCTTGATTTTGGTTTTGGGCTCCAGTGTTTGGGGGAGTGATGTGGGGTTGCTAACTATTGTACAAATAATCTTGATGATGTGCCGTCGTGTTCTTTCCCATCAACATACTACCAGTATGCTGGAGTTCCATGCGGAGAATCATGTAGAAGAGGGTTTATGGGGCTGGTGCTCTAAGGAGCTGTTCTCGTAAAATATGACTATGTATGGATAGCACTCAACATGTTAGTAGCACATTTCACTCAATCTCCATGCACTTTAAAATACTAACAAAGTGAAAGTCCTAGTACCTGCATGAGACTGGTAAATATTACCTGTATTTTACACAACATACAGATAGAGGCCCTGTCTGCATTAGGGAAATCTTTCAAAACTTCCCACCATTACCAGTGCTTGTTCTGCTCTTCTGCTGATAGCAATATAGCAGAAGACTGTTGGTCCCATTGAAGACTAAATGCCCAGTTCTCCATTGTTTCACAACTTGTGAAATATTTGACAATGCCTGTAATTTCCACAGTGCTACATAAGTGCAAGTCAGTGGATAACCAGGCCCAGTGACTATGCTCCTATTGATTTCTGTAGGTGCAAACTCTGTGTTTTGCCCAGGGAAATGATGAAAGAGGGAACTTGCTGTGAGTAGACTTGTTCAGTGAACGCATATAGGGAAAAAAAGGAAGAGTGAGTACAAGTATGTTTAAAAACAGGAATGCTTTTAAGGCTGTCTTTCTTCCCTAAAACAGGAGTTGAGCGTAGGCGCATCTATGATATAGTGAACGTTCTGGAATCATTGAACCTTGTTAGCCGGGTGGCCAAGAATCAGTATTGTTGGCACGGACGACACAGCCTGAGTCAAACTCTGAAAAATCTTCAGGAAATAGGAGCGCTCCAGAAGTATGAAGAACAAATGGCTTACTTCCAGCATAAAGAGCAGGACCTTGAATATAAATTTGGAGAATGTAAAAAGGAGACCTTTCCAGATTCCCAGGAAAGACCGTTACTTGAATTTTCGGAGGCAGATTGCCACTCCGGTAAGCTGCCTACTGGTTGTTGTGTACAGATGCAGTCATAGGGTTTAACATACAGTATGGCTTTTTATTTATTTAATTTGATTAATTTTTAAAACTAAAATACACAATATTGCTTGTGAAAGGTACTGAATTCAACTTTGGAGATGAGTCTCCTCTTTATATATATATAAAATTAAGTACAGCACAGATGGCAACAATTTCAGTCTTTCGCCTCACATGCAATGGCCTGTCCATGGCAGGCCTCATGGAACATGTTAACTAGTCATGCTAAACAATTTGTTCCAGCTTGTATGTAGCTGTGACACTCTAAGTTTCCAACAACCAAAGAAGAGCTCTGGGTAATCTTGAAGGTTTGTTTCTCACTAACAGTAGTTGGTCAAATTAAAAGACATTACCTCACCCAACTTCTCTCTAGCATGGGTGGTGGGTGAAGGTAGGCTGAGGGAGGCAAGCCCCCAGCCCTGCCCCTTCTGCCAAGGCACCGCCCCTCGCAGGAGTCAAGCCCCGCCCCACACCATGCGGAGGTGGGACAGCATGCTGCGCAGTCTCCTTCTCCCTTCCCCTCCCAGCACAGGGAGGGTGGGTGGGCACAGACCCAGGCTCCCTGGACCCATAGCATCAGGGAGGGAGGACAGGTGCTGTGGGGCAGCAAACTCCACCCGAAATATACCCACAGTAGGCTTTTTGGGGCGGAGTGTGGGCAGGGCCAGGCTGGTGGTTTGGGAAGGCAATGCCCTCCCCCATCTAGCATCCCAGCCACTCATGCGCTCTAGTTTCCCTAACAGCCTTTTGTGAAAGAATTTGTTGAACAGATTGTTTCTGTCTCTCTCCCCTCATCCCTCCTTATTCTCTGGTAAATAGTAAAAGTGCTGTGTCCTTTTTTTTTTTAACTGAGGGCCAGCTCTTCCTCTCTGTTACACAAGACAAATGTTGGTATAAATTCCCTGGCATTCAACAGTTGTACTGGCTCAGTACATTTAAAACCAATTCTTTATGCTTTAATGGTTATTATCTTTTGAAGACAGCTGAAATGCTGTTGTCCATCTGCCTTAAATAATTATTTGATGCCTACAAAAAGACTTCTGCTTTCTAATAAGGAAACACTTTACCCTTATTGTACATGAGAAACCATCTTAATACTTTCCCGTCTTGTCTTGAATTTTATTTGTAATGTAGCATCTGCAAACAGCAGAAAGGACAAGTCATTGCGGATTATGAGCCAAAAGTTCGTCATGCTGTTCCTTGTCTCCAAAACCAAGATAGTCACTCTTGACATAGCAGCAAAAATACTGATAGAAGAAAGTCAGGATGCAGCAGATCACAGCAAGTTTAAAAGTAAGTCTTATTGTTAAGAAATGGATTAATCATCCAGTCAGCAGAGAAAATGGAGACACATTCAGGCTGACATCTGAGGGTATGTCTAGACTACATACCTCTGTCGGCAGAGGCATGTAGATTAGGCTACCCGACATAGTCAATGACATGGATCTGCCATGTTGTGCCGGATCAGCTGATCGTCGGCACAGCGTGGCAGCCATGTTCATTTTAATGAAGTGGGGAATATTTAAATCCTCACTTCATTGAATATGTCGGGTAGCCTAATCTACATGCCTCTGCTGATAGCGGCATGTAGTCTAGACATACCCTGAGATCTCAAGCACAGAAGATTCTTTCCATGCTGTTTAAGAGGTTTTTTTAACTACAGTAATTCCTCACTTAACACGTGCCTGCTTAACACGTTTTCGTGATAGCGCAATTTTTTTTTTTTAGGAATATTTTTCAAACAATACGACCCCGTCCCCGCAATAACACGCTTTCCCCTAGGGCCAGCCAGTGGCCAGCAGCTGCGCGAGGCTTCCCCTGCCTCCCTGCAAAGTGGCAGAAGTTTGTCGCTCACTGCGCATTTCCCCGGCGACCTCCTCTGGCCAGATGCTTTGCGTGCAGCCAGAGGGGGTAACCGGGGAACTCTACGGTGAGTGGCAAACCTCTGCAACTTTGCACGGAGGCAGGGGAAGCCTCGCACAGATGCCCGGGACTTCCTCTGCCTCCTTACAAAGTGACCGAGGTTTGCCGCTCGCCGTGCAGTTCCCCGATGACCCCCTCTGGCCAGATGCCTTGTGTCCGGCCAGAGGGGGTCACCGAGGAACTGCGCGGTGAGCGGCAAATCTCCGCCGCTTTGTAAGGAGGCAGAGGAATCCCCGTGCAGCTGCTGGTGACAGGCCAGCGGGGAACCCCAGCCGCCGGCTGCAAGCCCCCTCCCCTGTCCTTCCCTTCTCCAGAGCCAAACACCTCCCCTCCCTGCTATACCCCAGTCCCCTCTCTCCCCCAACCTTATGTCCCAGTCCCAGCTGCTAACAAGTGCAGGCTGAAGCTGTGAGCGCACGTGCGTTTGAAACGCAACCCCCCCCTTTTCCATTATTTTCAATGGGAAAATTGACCCCGCATAACACGTTTTCACTTTGCACGATCATTTTCTGGAACGTATCTACTGTGTTAAATGAGGAATTACTGTATATAAAATGCAGAATCTGAATCATAATAAATGCCTATGCCCTAAATATTTAGAAATATTGGGGGAGAGAAGAAGAGTTCAGTTGTACCACCTTGTGTTTTATGGGCGTTGTCATCTAGCTACATCATCATTCAGTTCATTGGAGTTGTAGAGTAAAAACAAAAAAATGGATTGATATGAGTATTCTCAGATGATGCTGCTTTCAAGGTGGGATGAAATATTTTTATCATGCAGTTCTGCTCTTGCTAGGAAATGCATCCATTGGACAGAAGTGACTTGTGCATAAACTGACATACTTCCTTGTAACCTATTCCCAAAAGCTACCTTGGCATTATGGCACAAATTAATTAGCTTATACAGCAATGGTCCCCAAACGTTTTCTTTTGTGCCCCCTCCTTACCTATATTGGAACCCGTCCACAGCCCTAGGAGCGGTACTATGGCTGGAAGCAGAGCTGTGGAGGAGACTGGGGCTGGGGGCCATGGCCTGGAGAGGAACATAGGAGATGGGGGCTGAGGCAGGGGCCAGAGCTGTGACTGAGGACAGATTGGGGGTGGGTGCTATTCCCTCCTTGCCCCATGGGGGCTGGCTTGAGATCCCGGAGAGGGGTGAGCCACCAAACATATTTCCAGGCTTCTGGAGTTTGGGGACCATTTTTGTACAGCATATTTACTGTATATTTCTTTACACTTTTGTTTACCTTTCAGCAAAGGTACGAAGGCTGTATGATATTGCCAACGTTCTGACCAGCCTAGGACTCATAAAGAAAGTACATGTCACAGAAGAAAGGGGTCGAAAACCAGCCTTCAAATGGATTGGGCCTGTGGAATTCAATGGAAATAGTGGTAATTTGTGTGGCTTGGTGTTTGGGAGAGGGAGGGAGGTCTGTGTGTTTTTTCTGGAACTTTCTTCTTTTTAATAGGCAGCAGGTTTAAAACAAACAGGAAGTTTATACATAAATTTGGGGGGAGGGGAAGGTTTCACGAGGCATAAAGGAGCGGTCGACAAAGGCTTCCCTTGTCGCTCGATCCGCGTCTAGACTCCTGCTCTGTACCAGATCAGCTGATTGTCAGCACAGCGCAGTGGTCATTTTTATTTTAATGAAGCAGGGATTATTTAAATCCCCACCTCATTGACTATGTCGGGTAAGCTAGTTTACATGGCTCTGTCGACAGAGCCATGTAGTCTAGACATACCCTGGTAGACAATCCTTACATTACTTTATTTTAGGGCTGACCAGTTTTATGATCATGGAGAAATAAGTGAACATTAATGCTACTTTTGCCTCATCTTCCCTTTTGCTCTTTGTAGCTGCTCCTAGTAGAGCATGGATACGGCCCAGGATCTTGAACTGATATGCAGTGCTGGAGTGATTATGGGAAAGGGTGCCCTTATCTTCTCCACTAGCTTTAACATAGTTTTGTGGTGTTAGACAAGTACAGTGTTTAGAGGGTTTTCTTCTGCTGTGTTCATAGTAAAGTTCCGTGAACATTCTATGGTGTCATGGTAGAAGCTGCAGTGACAACAGGTGTCCTTCAGGGGATAACTTTACAAAACCCCATTTCTTTAGATGAACCAAGAACTGATGCTCCTACATGTGCTGCTTTACCAGAACTGAAAAGAGGAGCATGTGTCCAACATCAAACCCATGTGAATGGAAAACAGAGGCTTTCACGGCACTCTTCATTTAACACTGTTCAGCCTTGTGAAGGGATCAAAAGGAAGTTCAGCTCTGAACCCAACAGCCCACATAGGGAGAGGCAAGGTAAATACCAAGAGGAGTTGCTCTTTCCTAACCCATTGTATCTGTAGCAGTCACTTTCAGCCTGGGAGCGATGTTCCTATTTTTCAGTAAATTTTCTGTTCTTTGCATACTGGAAGCATGGTGTTATTTCTTCTGTGGGAATTTGGCAGACAGATTAAGATTCTTGAATTAAAAAGATAACAGATTTTTACTGAATGGTTTCTAGTAACATGGAGTTCACTGTAAGACTCCAGTTTATAGCACTTTCACACTTTAGAATTCTAAAGTTATAAAGCAAAAGTTCTTCCAGAATTCTCTATGAATTGTCCTAAGCCTGCTTAGTGCTGAGTGTTTCTTGCATGGAACTGATGGTGGTGCTCAAACTGAAGAGTAAATATTATAAAAACATTCCTTGGCAGAAAAACTGGATTCCGCTCTTTGTATTATCAATATAAAAATGTGCTTAGAAAATCTCTGTAATTAATTCAATGTCCCTTTGTTCTTTCAGCTTGCTTTGTAGGTTCAGATGAATACTGCTCTAAAATGATAAATCTAGCAGCTGTCTGCAGACAGAAGATGGAAAAGGATGCAGAGTAAGTTGGGTCTTAAAACTTAGTCTGCTCAGTTCCCTGCCCTATTCATTTTAATTTAAGGTCAAATTTTATCCAGAGGTTGGAGATGCACAATTTCCAGTGACTTTCATTAGAGGACAGAAATTGGCTTTCGGGGTAACTTTTGTTCTCCATGTGCATGTAAAAGAGTCAGGCTAATATGCTTCACATTTTAATAGAGAAATGAAACAACTATTGATATTTTCAAAGAAGTTGAGGGGATTCAGGAACATCTTGCGATACAATTAATGGTCCAGATATGTGTAAATCCCCTGGAGTGCTTTGAAAATTTCATGAAACATATTTATTGGAAGCTTATAGATACGAGCTCTAGTTATCCTGAGTAGGGTTCTAGGGCTATGTCTACACTATGGTTTTTTTTTGCTGACGGGGTAATGCAAATGAAGTGATCATTAGCATTTTCTCATGCTTCATTTACATAATCTCTTCCAATGCTTTTTGTGCAAGAGGTTTTTGCACAAAAACTAGCAGTGTAGACGGATCTGTTTTGTGCAAAAAAAACCTTTTGTGCAAGATCTGTATGCCTGCTCGTTTTTGCGCAAAACCTCTTCTGCAAAAGGTATTGGCAGAGAATATGCAAATAACAGCATGACAAATGCTAATGAGCGCTACATTTGCATTGTCTCTGCCGACAAAAGGCTGCAGTGTAGACATAGCCTCAGAGATAATGGGATTCTTCCCATTAAAAAAAAAAGAAAATATTTGTAAAAAAAAATGATCAATCTTTTAGGGGTTTTTGACCAACCCTCCATGCAAGTTAACATTGCTTTAGCTCATTAATTTGAAGCCAGAATATGCTAATGAGAGCATCTGTCTCCATCCCATCTAAAAAGGAGAGAGTTAGACCCCACAGAGAGTCTTCTGTAGAGAGAAGGGGTAAGCATGCTGCGGAATTGGTCTGTTCCACTGTCAAATCCAAACACTCTCTGATAACATAGGTGAGAATAGCATGGAGTCTGTATTTTGCGGATACATGTTGTATGTCCCTGTTAGCACTTATTGAAAGAATCCACACTTAACCCCAGAGAACCTCACAATTTTGTTTATAAGGATAGTTTATGGGGATGTCATTCTGAACTGCATGCCTTTCTCTTTTTCTTGCATCTTTTAGGAGTAAAAATTGTGCCACTGAAACAAGCCTACATTCATCAAGGAATCCAGCCTTAATCTCTCCGTTCTCTGTCCTTCCAGATTCTGGGGACTCTGATTATTGTCTTAACCCCATACCTCATCCAGTGTTTCCCATTGCTCATTCAGATATGTCACACCTCTCTCTGTCAAATGGTGTGAACAGCCAAGTTTTGCAGACTCCCACTCTAGCAGTCTCAAAAATAGAGAACGGGAAACCCGCTCTACTCCCCAACCAGCCTTTTGTTTGCTTCCCTTCTGCGTCTGTCTTCATGCTGTGTGGCAGCCCTCAGGAACATCTGTCGAGAGAGAACCTTCCTAATGTAGGAGAAAAATGCAACAGAAGCCCTAAGGGGCAGGCCTCACCCCTGAAGCCACAAGCTGCTGTATTTTCAGTTAATTGTCACAAGCGTAGTTCCCAGAAGTGTGCATCTCCCTCCACGCCTGCAGCCAGCTCTGAGCCAGTTGCTAAAAGGAAGACCCTGGAGCAGAGTGATGCCCCCCTCTCATTGGTGCTACCCAAGGTAGGGAAGTGCATTTAATTGACACCCACCTTTGTTGCTAAAGCTGAGAGCAGGGGAAAGATGCTCATGTTACTTGAAATAGTCTCTTCTGTACAGATACCTATTTAGAGAGAGACAAATCCTACCTCACATGCACAAGTATAATGGGGAAGGGGAGAAATACATTTGGTGAAGCGTTAATTGGAAGATGTCTCTGGTTAAAAAGTGACTGATTACCTCATGATGAGGCACAGATCAGTCCCTTCCATAAAAATACCTGCAAGAGAAGAAGAAATCAGAGGGTTCTTCTACACATTATCCTGTCACTGGGGCTACCTCCCAACGTGGCAGTTCCACAGGAGACACTGTTACTCCTCATCAGCTTTTACACCACTAGGGTTCACCCAGGCAGCATTGCTCATTCTACAGAGCCATGGGAAGGTGATATGCCTCTTCCCCTCTTCCTTGTCTCACCTCCCTCTCTATCCTCCCAGTCCAACTTCTGCTCTCTGCAGGATGAGTGGGTTAGGAGAGGATGGGGCTTTGGAAGCCAATGAGTCAATTTCTGCAAAGAGAGGAGGTTCACATACAGTGTCTAGTTCAGATGCTGAATTGGGAGCCCAGGCCATTGTCTGATTGTGGGCTGTCTGGGGCAACTACAAGGCATCTACAACCCTTGTCAAGATTTTCTTTCAAAATTAAAAAAAAAAGCCCTAAACACTTAAGATGAAAGTCAGCCTTGTGTAGATGACTGTCACTACAACACTCCTTGTGGTGGCCCTCTGCCCCAGAGTGAATTCACTCTTTAGTTAAGGAAGGCACGTGAATGGTAGCCCATGTACTATTTTAATGTAGACTTTTCCTTCCTAATTCTGTTTTTGCTCAGAAGCCTATTGAGTCACCTGATGTAGCATATCCCTTGGGAAGCAGCTGCGCCTCTAATGTACATCTAGGAGCTTTTCATCTTGATTTAGGAACTCCTGCTGGTGAGACTGCAGAAGAGGATACAACTAAACCTTTAGAGCCTCCCCAGGAAAAGCAATCTCCGAACAGAGACCATGAAGATCCCTCACAGGGAAAAGAGCACATATCTCAAGAAAATAACCAACAAACCTTCTTTCCACAGTATCTCTATGTGCAGCCAGCTGCAGGTAAGGACTATATAGATACACAGGGATACATTATGACTAAATGATGAGGCATAAATTTAAAAATTCAGGCATATTAAGTGGGGGTGTTAAATCCAGATTTGGGCACCTAAGCAAAAGTTATCTGAATTTCAGAAAACCTGTTCACTCTCAAATCCTACTACAGTCACTGGGAGCTGTTTGTAACTCTGAAAACCAGTATGCTTTTATGTAGGTATGTACATATGGATTACAGTGAATAACAGGGCCTCACATATTTCCACAGCAACACACATTGCTTATCACAATAGACCTGTTCTTTGGGACCTCATCTGTCTTTTTTTTTTTTTTTTTTTTTTTTTAATGTTTTTGCCTTTATGGATGTAGAGAAAACCTTGAAAAGGAGAACGTAGGTTTTGTCTATTCCTAAAACAGACTGACCCATCTACGTCACTAAGGGCTGTGAAAATTTTCCCCCTGTGATGTAGTTAGAGCAACCTAACCTTCCTGTAGACATGACAGTGACAGAAAAACCTCACTTGCGTAGCTGCAGCTATGCCCCATAGCACTTATGGACCCAGCCTTAGTATTTGGTGTCTTAATAGCCTGAAATTAGCTCTACAAGGTGTAACTCAACTCAAGCAGGGCTTTGTAGATTTCAGTCCTGGAATCTATTTTTCCAGGATCTCATGCACCTCAGCATTGCTGCTGCAGAATTTGTCTGATGGCTGTTGATAGGCATGTGAGTTCTTATTTTCTGGCTCCCTGCCCTGCCAGGATCAGTATGCAGGTAGCACATGGGGTAGTTAATTCAGTGTGTGCTTTGGTCTATAAAGCTAGGCAGCCAGAACTGAAGTCCATCTTGTAGCCAAGAATGTGGGGAGCTAGAAGTTGAGGCTGGTGAGTCAAGTAGCCTGAAGAACACTGCAGCAGCTGAGGCCCAGGGAGTTGAGTTGCTCTCTTAAAGCCAGTTACAAGATGTTCCCATTCAAGGCACCTGTGTAGGGTGAAGGGAAGAAGTTTTTATGGCTGCTGTGGAATGGAGTGGTTGCTCCCTTGGAGTTTAGTCCTATTGTGCCACTGAGTCAAAGCCACTATTTGCAGGTGCAGTGCTACATGGATACAGATTCACAGCAATTTACAGTCTGGGAGCCTTAGTTTGAAAATGTTGATGAAGGTGTTCAGAAGATCTGATAAATTGGGGACCAATTCAACACCCAGTGAAGACAATTAAAATCTTTCCCTTGACTGCAGTTAGTTTTGATTGGGCTTTTAACAAGTGGATTTTTATAATGTTATTTCTTTAAAGTAGGGCTGTCAAACGATTACAAAAATTAATCATAAGATTTTTAAAAATTGTGCTTAATTGTAGTTTTCATCACATTGTTAAAATAATAGAATACAATGCATTTAAATATTTTGAAGGTTTTCTAAATATTTTCAATTACATTGACTTTAGTTACTACACAGAATACAAAATATGCAGTACTCTACACTTGTATTACATATATTTACACTGTAAAAAAGAAACAAAATAAATAGTATTTTTCAATTCACCTCATATAAGTACTGTAGTGCAATCTTTTTATCATGAAAATGCCTTGCAGGATGGGGAATTACAGGTAGGGTACCGTAAATGAAGACAAACTTGTTTGTCTTAACCATTGAGGTGAACAAAAACAATGACTTAGTGGACTTGCAGGCTCTAAAGTTTTACATTGTTTTATTTTTGAGTGCAGTTCTGCGACAAAAACAATTCTTTTGTAAGTTGCACTTTTACAATAAAGAGATTACACGGTAGCATTTCTTTGAGATGAATTGAAAAATCATATTTCTTTTGTGTATCTTTATTTGTAATCAGAAATAATATAAAGTGAGCACTATACACTTTGTATTCCGTGTTACAACTAAATTCAATATATTTGAAAATGTAGAATATCCAGAATATTTAAATTGGTATTTTATTATTATTTAACAATGTGATGAAAATGGTAATTTTTAATCGAGTTAATTTGGTTTGAGTTAATCACTTGAATTAACTGCAGTTAATTGACAGCTCTCCTTTAAAGCCATGTATAAGTTTTATTTTTAAAAAAGAGTTGAGTAAATTATTTCTAAATTAGTGGAGAAACAAGTACCAAGTGTATGTATACAGGCTGCCACTTATGGTTCTTATTTATACATCAGCAAATGGTGGTTGGTGCTTTACAGATGCTTGCAATCTAAATAGAGAAAAATATAAAAGAGAGATGAGAGGAAAGGTGGGGATATAAACAACGCAGAGCGATTTGAGTAGATCTCTCAGACATGTAGTTTATTTACCTTTATGTTTTGCTTTTTCCTAGACAGCTTTACTTTTTCCCTGCTTCTCCCTTTTATTAAATAACATGTATGGTTAATGTCCATTAGCAAACTGCATTAATTCCTTAATTTGCTCTCTCTTTGGTTTAGGATTAAGTGGTTTTAACTTCCTGTTTTCTGCAAACCAAATCCCTGGTGCTGTTGGTCTGTCTGCAAGCCAGTTACCATCTCTTAGTGTTCCCTGTGTGGTAGTGCCATCAACAGCCTTGGCACCCCTCCCTCTTATCTGTTCTCCAGCAATCACCGGTCCGCTTTCTTCTGCTCCTGCTGGCTCTCTTCCAAATGCTGCAGCCACAAATATCAGTATGCCCACCTTCACATCAACAACGCCCGTCTTTATTGGCACCACAGCAATGGTTACTCCAAAGACCTCCAAAATACCTTCAGTGGATTCACAACAGCCGTCTTCTGCTGTACATCTGAGCCCTGTGCTTGGAAAGTCTTGCAGCATGGTTAAACTGGAATCCCCAGTTTGTACAGGGCACCCAGTCACCCTTCTGAAACTACAACAGGTGAGGAATTTATTACAGGGAGGCTATACAAAAGTGTCATCCTGCAGCAGGGGTGGGCAAACTAGAGGCCTGAGGGCTGCATCAGGTTATGGCTCTTGAGGGTGAGGCCACAGGAGACCAGGAGGAGACCGAGCATGCTTCCGAGTGGGGGAGGGGCTGCTGCATAGGGCCAGGGTTCCAATCCCAGAAACAGCATGGTGCATGCTCACCTGTGCAGTGTGGTGCTGCTCCATGCCAGAAGACGATGGAATTGTGAGTTGGGGTTGGACAAGCCCATAACTCCATTTCCTGGCAGGAGGTCCAAGAGCAGATAAAAAAAGTCTGCTGGGCCAGATGTTGGCCCACCCCTGTCCTGGGACCAAGTGGCTGAGACTGAATGAGAGAGATTTGGTTTTGCAGTTATTGACTCAGCTGGAGAGGTGTGTCTGTCGCAGAGGGAGAGGATAACATTATGGTGCAGTGTCTACCCTTGCAGTGACATATTTTTAAAAAACTAACAAACAAACCTCTGACAGGTTGAAGTATAATATTAAACATGTGTATCTGCAAGTTTGCTAGCACCATAAACTGAAGTAGAAAAAATGATTACTCTCTCCCAAATCAGTCTATGCTTTCCCCAATGCTTTGATTCTCTGGTAAATTGTTGAGATTTTGGGGGGAGAGAAAGGGAAAGGTTTGGTTCAGAAGTTGCAGCCACAGTTTGTTAAAGTTGTGGTTTTAGGCATACAACCTATCTTCCAAAGCAGAGCAGCAGTACAGAAGAGATGATATGTGTTCTGTTTGGCTCTCCAACACAAGCATGACTGTGAAGAAGCCAGGTAAAATTTGAGTGGCCTGGTCATACCTTCTGCCGTGATGTCTGTGAGTGGCATTGCAACCTAGTACACAAGGTCATGCTAATTCAGGTCACTCAAATTTGAGGCAACTATAAACATTTCTGGTATATTTAAAAGTTGCAGTTTCTGCAATAAAATTGCTACCAGCAATTTTCTTACAGCCTTCTGATAGGCATTACCACTAAAAAGCTGAATTGTGTAAAGTAAATAAATAGGATAGGGCAGAGCAGCGTAGGAGGATTCTCAGTTTTAACTCAGACATCTGGCTGAAAAGTTGTAAAAAAAAAAAAAAAAAAAAAAGTATAAATCCTCCACGCTTCACCCCCAAATCATTTACTTTAATATCTAAATAATACCACTTCCTAATGATAGTGTCTGATTAGAGCGCTGGGTGAAAGTATTATATACGATGGATAAGGACAGGACTCTCAATTTTAAAAACAAAATTAACACAATGTGAGTTTTTTCTTGTGTCAAAGAAATCATTAATACCAATTCAGAATAGGGAGGAAATTGGCTATGTTTAGTACTACACATGAGATCAAACTACATTGCTATCTGTTTCTCTTACCCACTACACTTTGTCTTTGCTTTAGTCTTACTCTTTTAAAAAAATATTATCAGGGAATGATACGGGGGAATGAGTGATCAATTAAAAATAAAATTGTGTTTTTGGATGTTTGCAAACTTATGAAAAAATAACAGAATTCAAAAATCAATCACAGTATAATCACTAAAAAGAGTGTTAGTTTGCATATTCAAGGAAAGTCATTGTGTTATAAAACTCGTGCTAAAGTTTTCAAACAGATGTCTAATGCTAGGCATCTAAATCCACACTGAGCCCTTGACAGTGAGGTACGACAGGCACTTAAAACTGAATTTGTCTATGTTCGGATGTTTAAATATGGATTTAGGACCCTAATTTTAGACACCTGGCTTGAAATCTTTATTTGTGTATCTAAGAAATAGCGTGTGTTTTCTCACTTTTGGATAAGACATTTCTGAATTGCTTTGTTTCACTTGTATAACTAGCCATCATCAACCCCACTTACTCCGAAGAGCATTCGTCCTACACATCATGAGGCATTTTTCAAAACTCCCAGCAGCCTTGGAGATCCTATTGCATGGAAAAAAAAGGAAGGCAACCAGACCAGAAATACCAGTTCTGTTCAGAGGAGACTAGAAATCTCAAGTAGCGGCACTGACTAATCCAACTCATTGCAAGGGTGTGGTCATATTCTAATATGACTTAGCTGTGGCTTTTGTTAACAACTACGATTTCATAACAAGAGGAGGATGTTAAAATGTCACCCCTGTTGGCATACTTCCCTTCCACACTAATTCTTTAGCTTTCTCCTTCATCAATCATCCCTATCACTGAAGTATCTTTATTTAATTGCTCATTTAATATTTGTTAGGATTCAGACTTTGAGCATGGTGCAGCAATGCAAGCACCAAACTGTATTTGTGGTTTTAATATGAAAAATACTATATTGCTGTGACAAGATGTAAACAGACTTATTGGAGTCTCATGGAACTTTCTTTCTTTTCTTTCTTTCTTTCTTTCTTTTCTTTTTTTTTTTTTTTTTTTTTTTTTAAGTAAGCTGTCCAGCACTTATCTAGGGTGAGTGTTTTTTACATGTCCTCTACTTACCCTGAGTAAATCTGTGGTAAAAAAATGAAAACCTCCTGCAGCTGTAAAAGCAGCTGCTGCCTGTGTTTCAGTCTATCAAATTCTGCCTCAGCAATGCAGTTTCTTGTTATTTATTTTGTATATTGGAATGGGATTTAGTGCAAAATGTTTGCAGCCTCAAAACAACAGATTTTCTCAGGGTATGACTACTTGAATATTGATTGGTGGTTGTACAGTTTGCCCTGCACTTGTTTTACAAAAGCCTAATGAACTTACAGAATGGATGAATGTATACATATGAAAATATTAAGACCAAAATAACTGTGAATCTTAACTTTTTTTTGGTAGTTGTATTAATGAACTGTATTAGTCCTTGTCTTGTGTCTTTTTCTGGGCAAAAAGTACAAATTAATTAACAAATTGAATCTGGTTCCTAAATAACACAATCTGACAAATTAATCTGGGAATAGTGAATCTCTGAATGTGTGTGCTAGGATTTCTTCTCCATTGAAATATATGGTCTAGAATCTCTCTAAATCCAGATAGAACTTAGCAATTAATCACAGGATTTTAGATTTTATTTCCAAAAATACTCATGTGCATAATTGTTGACCAATGACAGTAGGCAATTTTGGTAACTCTCATTAGAAATTATAATTATTCACTAAATTTTAATACGTCTGGAGATTATGAACAAAGACAGTCCCCATGAATGGTGTATTTGAATACACATGAAAAGTGGGAGGCTTTGTATTTAGGCACCTGTGTGGAAAAATTGTAGAAAGAAGATATCAGTGAGCGGGAGTCATGAATTTGGGAAGATAGGGGTGGTAGTTAGCTTCATGCCTGCAGATAAAGTGGGAATAAAGAAAGGTACATGTCACACTTATTAGCATTCAGAGTCCTCAAACAGTGGGTGGATGGTGTTTGAGCACAATTAATATAAACGGAAATAATGTAATGGTTAGTACTGATTTTAGATGTTTTCACAATCTGCAGTTGCATTTCTTTTTTTTTAATATTATCATGTTACTTTGAAATTTTATTAAATCTGTGGGTAGCCACATCAGCTCTTCTTTCATGTAGTGAAAATATGTGTTTATTGATATTGCTCTCTTGAGAGCAGACAGTCTAATGTGCTATTTCTCTAGCCTTGGGAGAGAAGGATTTCTTGGGGGAAAGGGAAGGGTTTATAAAGAAATGTGTCCTTACCAAATGGAATTTAAGAATGAATTTTAGTGGAGTGGTAAGTGGGAGTACAGTGGCCTTATATTAGAAGTAGACCAATGAGAGCCTTATGAGGAGGGAGTATTTTAATCCCTCTTTTAAAACAACCAACAATTTGACAGTAGAATGACACAGAAAATTTCAGATGTGGGAAAGAGAACGCTTACCACTGTTAAATTTTAAAAGTTTTATGTTTTACACTACAGTTTTGCAAGTTTACATGATTGTATTTGAATCACTTTTTCTTGTACTCCCAATTATAAATTACTTTGCAAAGTAAAATGAAGTCTGTAGCTAACATTAATATTGCCAAGCATACATTGTAGCTACTGATGCTGTGATTTTTTTCTCAGCTAGTACAAGTCAGTATCTGTTCAGGCTTGAAACAGACTGATGTTGTTCCAGATTGTATGGAGAATCTACACTAGTCACGCAATCTGTTTTCTCCTTTATCTGTGAGCAGCGTGTTAGTGAAATGGCAGTATGGAGGAAGGAGGAGGATTTGATTAAAATATGAAGCCTTTTTACTCCACAGTTAAATCATCATTGCAAACCCATCTCACTTTGTCAGTAAGGCTGTTCTGTTTCATGACTGACCTAACTATACTTGAAACTACAGGGACAGAAAATCTTCATTTTCCAATACCTGCTTCATTAAAACACTGGGCCTGATTCTGATCTCAGTGGGTCTCCAGTATGAATCAGGGGTAACTCTACTGAAGTCAGTAAAGCGAGACCAATTATAGGGAGAGCAGAATCAGGCCTACTTTGCTTTTGTAACATACAGGGCATGCAAGGGTTGCGGTGGGGCTTGACATTGTCCCATTTATGTCAAGGGCAAAACTCACACCTAGGTAAACAGAAGCATGAGTGAAACCACTGCAAAAGTGTAAAATAATAGATCAAACCATGTTACCTGCAGAAGAACTTGCAGCGGTTAGGCTGCTGCAGTAGATAAGGGGTACTTCTGATAGTCAAGAGGCAATGGCAGTCTACACTTCCTATCACTGGGTTCAGTCAAACAAATCAGCAAAACTGCTAAGGAAAAGCAGGATTTGAATTTGCACTGAAGAAAGTGCACATGCATGATGTTGTGCAGGGTTTGTGAAACTTTTATGTTCTGGTACAAGTGTTGGGGGCATGTGTGTATAATTTATATACTTGAATCTACCTACCAGGTTTACATTTCTCAATTTCTTTTGTAAAAGGTGCTATTTCTGTATTTAAAAAGCTGTATTTTTAATGTAAAGCTGCTTCCTGTTTGTATCATTGCACTGCTAGCTTTTATATAGATATTAATTTTATTGCTGCTTGTAGCTGTTCTTCACTGGTTAGATATCACTTCCTCCTTTTTCTTGTATCTAGCAATGTTCTTTGTAGCTACCTGTCTGTAACTGTACTACAAGCACACTGTTGTTGGGTTGAATTTTTTTTAATACCTGTTAGAAACATTGTAAACTTTACAAAATAAAAAATGAACTAAGAGAAGGTGAAATTGTGGAGAAGGCTTGTTTTGGATTTGTTTTTTGTTGCTGTTGGGTTTTTTTTTTTGGCGGGGGGTTGGTTGTTTGGTTTTTTGCTTTATCTAAAATGTATCTAGATTGCCCATCACTTCACTATTTGAACACCAAATAAGTTAACTGAGATCCTCAGAGTCTTCCAGGTTCAGCAACTTTCCTTATCGTGGGTAAGCTTCCCACTCCTTTGGCCCCAGTACACTGAGGCTACATCTACGCTCCAGGGTTTTTGAACAAAAACAGCTGTTTTTGCACAGAAACCCATGGAGCGTCCACACCTCAAGCGTGTTTTTGTGCAAGTAAATTTACAGTAAATCAACAGAACAGAGGGGGTTTTGCAGTGTAGGTATTTCTCTTTCTACGAGGAATAACTTCTTTTTGCGCAAGAGTGCTTTTTGCGCAAAAAGCCAATCGAAAAAAAGCACAGGTGCTCTGGTGCCTATTCTGTGAATAGTAATCAGAGCTTTCTTTCAAGAGAGCGTCCATGCATGTGGACAGTCTCTTACACAAAAGCGCATCACTTTTGCAATGCGCTTTTGTAGAGGGGACATGCTGTTGCGCAAGTAGTTTTTGCAGATCTCTTCCGCAAAAATCTTCTTGCGCAAGAAGCCTGCAGTGTAGACATAGCCCAAGTAAAACCATAGGAACAGTGCATAGGGCCTCTAAGGGTATGTCTACACTACAGGCTTCTTGCGCAAGAAGCCTTTTGCGCAAAAGTTTTTGCACAAAATCTTCTTGCGCAAGTGCTTTGAGGTGTGGACGTGCTCATCGCAAAAGCCACGTGCTTTTGCACAAGAGAGTGTCCACACGGCATGGACACTCTTGCGCAAGAAAGCTCTGATGGCCATTCACAGAATGGCCATCAGAGCACCTGTGTTTTTTGGATAGGGGTTTCTTGTGCAAGGGGTTTCCTCTGGAGCATCCACACTTGCCTTCTCGCACAATAGCTGTAGCACTAAAAGCAGTTATGCCTCAGAAAAGGAGGTTTGCCTACTGCAGAAAAAGCCCTCCGTTCTGCCATTTAACTGCCCATTTAATTGCGCAAGAGCTCATTTGAGGTGAGGACGCTCCACAGGTTTTTGTGGAAGAACATCTGTTTTTGCACAAAAACCTTGTACTGTAGACTTAGCCTAAAAGTCCCAGTACAGAAATTGAAGGAAACAACCACAGGCTGTTCTTCAAAGATCCCCTCATAAGGCATATATGTTTAGGGGCTATGGGCCTGAAGGTAGTGTCAGGGAAAGGCCACAGCATTTGCTGAAGAGATTCTAGGCAGTGCTGGTGCCATAGTTAAACAACAAACTGTTTTGAGGTTATGTCTAAATTATGCGGGAGGCTGTTCTGGCTCTCAGGCTATGTCTAGACTATAGGCTTCTTGCGCAAGAAGCCTTTTGCGGACGATCTCTTCCGAAAAACTTCTTGCAATAGAGGGCGTCCACACTGCAAAAGCACATCGAAAAAGCAATGCACTTTTGCGCAGGAGAGCATCCAGACTGCCTGGATGCTCTCTTGCAAGTAAGCAATGATTGCTATGAACAGAATGGCCACCAGGACACATGTGCTTTTTCCTCTTCCCTCTTCTTGCACAAAAACCCCCTCTTGCCCATTCTCACACACCAAATGAGGAATGAGGAATACTTACATGGGGAAAAAACCCTCTGTTCTTTTGTTTTACTTGCATAAAAATGCACTTGAGGCGTGGATGCTTAGCGAGCTTTTGCACAAAAACAACTGTTTTTGGACCAAAACTCTGTAGTGTAGACCTAGCCTCAGAGCAGCCCAGAGTTGGAGGGCACAAGAGTGGCTTAAGCCATCAGCTTCAAATTTTGATCTGTGCCTCAGAAATTTAGTCTCATCCCATGTGTTCTTTGCTGCCAATGATGCCTTGATTTAGAGTACTATTAAAAAATAAACTTACAAAGGGACATGTTTCCAACATTCTCAGATGCATGATCAGATGGAGGATTCAGCCTTCTTTCCTGCTACAGCACTCTACAGACAAGGGTGCTCTGTCTCCTGCTTTCAGAAGTGTTATCCAGGGTACTGCTGTAAGCTCTCGGCTGTGTCTACACTGGGCCACTTATTCCGGAAAATCAGCCGCTTTTCCGGAATAAGCTGCGAGCTGTCTACACTGGCCCTTGAATTTCCGGAAAAGCAACAATGCTCTACTGTACAAAATCAGCCGCTATTCTGGAAAAACTATTCTGCTCCCGCTCGGGCATAAGTCCTTATTCCAGAACACTGTTCCGGAAAAGGGCCAGTGTAGACAGCCCAGTAGTCTTTTCCGGAAAAAAAGCCCCGATCGCAAAAATGGCGATCGGGGCTCTTTTCCGGAAAAGCACGTCTACACTGGCCACAGACGCTTTTCCGGAAAAAGGGCTTTTCCGGAAAAGCAGCCTGCCAATGTAGACGCTCCTTTTCCGGAAAAACTGAAAACGGAATAGTATTCCGTTTTAAGCATTTCCGGAAATTCATGCCCGTGTAGACACAGCCCTCCAGTATAGTGGCTCTAAGTTGATGGGAGAGAGCTTTCCAGCGTCCACGTGGTGGTAGCCATGTTTGTGGGAGAAGCTTTCCCACCAATAAAGCACTGTGTACACCAGTGCTCAAGTTGGTGTAAGTATGTCACTTAGGCATGGCTAATTCACACCTCAGAGCAATAAACATCAGCTTAAGCAGCAATATATCCATGGTCTTACACTGTGTAGGACTCTGGAAACTGGTTTATTCCTACCTCAGTCACTGGTCTGCTGAATGACCCAGCGCAAGTTTTTTTTTCTCCTCTCTGTGCCTCAGCTTCTATATCTGTAAAATGGGGATGATGAAACCAGTCAACTGAATGTTATAAAGTGCTTTGAAATCTACTCATAAAACATGCCATGTAAGAGCTAGGTATTATGATATAGCATCAGGAGTTCTCTTGGGCTATTCTCTTTTACTTTTGTGCCAAGTATAAGCTGTTCTTAAGTAAAAGAAGAGGGTTGTGGGTTTTTTCTAATTTCCATCTTTACAAACTCATAGTCCAATTCTGTGGCTACGGAGGTTTTACTTCACTTTTGTATCTTGACTCTGGGCTGCTCCAGGGACAGAAACAAGCCCTACTATATGTTAGAGCAGTCTCTGAATCACTGCAGAACTGCATTACTAGCCTGCTCTCACCACTCCAGCCCCTTGCTCCCAACAGTGCCGGTAGAAATGGGCGGGGGGGAGGTAGTATAGGGTGACTGACAGCAGCCCTATACTGTAACTATGCTAAGGGAATTCCTCCCCCAACCAGCTGTGCGGTTGCTATTTGCAGCCAGAACAGCATGTAAGGGCCACCTCCCGAGTGAAAATGTTCCCTGGTCTGAGATTCAAGCTGAGTTTTTTCCATCTAGTGCCTCACCTCCCCTAAATATTCATTTTCTAGTGTAAATTGGTCCCTCTGTTTCCAAGTGGCTCCAGCACAACCCATGCAAGATGGAAGAAGGGGTTTACCCCGAGGTCACCCCAGTCCTCGGATTATGCAGTGGTGCAAGGCATTCCACAGTAGCAGTTCCTGCAATTTGCAAGTCCCACCTGACCCTGGGGAGCAAGTCGTCAAAAAAGGAAGTGGTGAGGCACCCAAGGACATGGGCTGCTCCTTCCAACCAACATTAGCCTGAACAGTGAAGCCCATGCAGGTGAGTGGGCCCTGGCTTTCTAATGCATGGTGCAGATTGTGCATCCCACCTCGTCAGTGCATGCAATGCATTCGTATGCAACTAATCTGGAATGTAGAAAATGAACATTTAGCAAAATGACAGATTGTGCATTCATGATTATTTACATTGTCCCAACCCATCCCACTAGCAACCATGTAATATTCTTGCCCTTGTTCTCCACGAGATGGCACTAGCGTCTATGTGACAGCTATAGTTATAAAACTATGCCCGCACATTTTATTTTATTCAGCCAAATGCATATAGCGCATTATTTTCAAAGGGAGTGGACTGCTAATTGCTAAAAACGTAACTGTCCAGCCCAAATAATTAGTACTAACATTGCATTCCTACATGCACTAGGTATGAACAAACCAGTCACATTAATCCAGTAGGGAGTCCTCTCCTTGCTCCTGAATTTAGTGTTCACAGTCTAATGTTTCTTTTCAGTTTTCTCATACTCTGCTGTCTGTTTTCGTTGCCATGCAACTGCCATCATATTGTTGTGCATGCTTATTAGCCATTAACTGTCTTTTTTTTTTTATAAGAACATGCAGTGGCCCTAAATGCCGCTTTCTCACAAAGAGCTACATGAACAGAGAAGGTTGTGGATTGCTTCTCTGTGTCAAATTGGTGAATCACAACATGGCTTAATAGGCATGTGTAAGCAAACAATACAAAGGATGATACATGAGCATTCACCCAGAGAGTCACCTAAAACCACTACAGACATGTTACTCGCAAAGAAGCTTCATGTGTGATGGGACAGTCAGTCACTGCATTCTCTTCTTCCATAATGAGTCACTCAGTCAAGCAGCAATTCTGCAATATATTTTTAATCTGCAGGAATGTGGAAAACTTGCTACATTTGTTAATTCAGTTAAAAATCTTTTCTCTTAATGATTAGTTTTCCATTTTTTCAATTGCAAAAGAACAAGCTGACTGCTTGATCTGCAGCAGGGTCTTGCTATCATTAATGTCAATGGGAATTTTGCCATTGATTTCAGTTGGTGCAAAATTGGGACTCCAGCATTTATGGGCATGTGACTAGTAGCCTACATTGGGAACAAATGTTTGTAGTATGCAATAAAGCTGTGAATTACGACTGACTGTACAAAGCAAAAATTACTACTAGTGCTCCCTGTGGATTCAATAACGTATTTTTTTCCTGTGTCCTTACCAGTTTTAATTTTTCTTTTTAATTGAAAAAGATTAAAAGTTTAACAAGATTGCATGTGTTGCGAGGAGCATTAATGCTGGTCCAGCTCCACTACAAGGAACTGAGTTTTAGTTTTTGTAT